AGGGTAAAGAACTAGATAAAATGATGTGTGTGCAAAGATGAGGAAGAGGAGAGAATGGGGAAGGTAGGGGCACAAGTTGTTGCATCTGAAGAGGAAGCATAGGGTTATATCTCATGCCACCTCTGCTAGTGCTCAGCCGGCCACCTGCACTCCCCTCCCTTCCTGTGGGCCTCCTCTGTTCCTGCATTCACTGCCGTTTACCATTGCCATTTGCGCCTGGCTGCATATATAGTAGTGCCCAAGAGCACCAATGATACAGAATTCACTTCATTTAAAGGAGAAGCATGAGCCCATGTCTGTGTAAAGGAGAAGTGCTCACATTAGTGGGATTTCAAACCAGGTGGGGGAGGGGGTACTTGTGAGCTTCCTGCCCTAACAACAACCCTTAGAGATGAGGAAACTGGGATCCTGTAAAGACAGGATGACTTATGCAAGGTCACACAGTCATGACTCTGAGGCTTAAACTTGGGTGCACTTAGTTATGAGCAAGAATAACTTTTTATTTTCTTTTAAGTTTATTTATATATTTTGAGACAGACAGAGACGGTGGTGAGCAGGGTAAGGGCAGAGAGAGGAGACAGAGAATCCCAAGCAAGCTCTACACTGACAGCACGGAGCCCAATGTGGGGCTCAAACTCATGAAAACATGAGACCACGACCTGAGCTGAAACCAAGAGTCAGGCACTTAACCACTGAGACACCCAGACGCCCCAAGAATTCCTTTTTAAATAATACCATCACTGATTCTGAAAATAGCAACCTTTATTGAGTGCTTTCTGTCCTCCAGACATTGTGCTGAATTATGGATATAATTATCTCACCGAATTCTCACCTCAACACCCTGGGGCAGGTGCTCATTCTACAGGGGAGGAAACCAAGCCTCACAGGGGTTTGATAACTTGTCCATGGTCACACCACTACTGAGTCGGAGTCAGTGATCTACCCAGGCGGTCTGGCTCCTGAGCTCAGACTCTTGCCTGCTGCATGATCTAGATTTGGCACAGCACAGAAAGGTCTACGTGGGAGGGAACATGCTTAACATTCTCCTGGAGACCAGATGTTATCCTCAATCTCGGTCTCACGCTCTAATTTCAGAGGCCAGGGAGCAGCAGAGCTGGTATTTGGATCAACTGCATGTTCACTCATCATTGCTGATCATGAGCTCTTTGAACTGCAAAGGCTATCATTTGGAGTAGGGACTCTGGATGGGGACAGTCCCTTGTAGACAATGGCTATCCTCTTTACCACCTTGTAGAGAAATGATGTAAGACTGTGACTTCATTGATCCTCCTCTGGCAGATGACTCTTTAGACAAAACTTGGCCACATGCTACATTTTCTGACCTCTGGTTGGGCATCATGAACTCACATATAGTCGTTGAGTTGACAGTAATATCTGCTTAAGCCCTAGAAGTCCCTTCATGGTTCAGCTTATATTTTGCAGCAGAACAGAATATGGACAGATTTTGATTTCCCTTTCTTTTGTGATATTTCCTTAATGGACTGATACATTCTTGCATGGGCTTTGTATAAGTGCCCTGTTCCAGGGAATACAAAGACATACATTCTCTTTCATAGAAATTAATAATAGTAGCTGCCAGTTTTGAGGATTCTGCCAGCAATAGATATGTGTACATATAGGTTTATTTAATCTGCCCAACAAGCCAATGAGGTAGGAATTATAATGCTTGCTTTACATATGAGAAAGTGAGGCTCAGAAAGGGAAATTAATTTCCTCAAGGCCACACAGCTACCAAGTAGTGGAGCCAGATACAAACCAGATCCGTTGCACCCCCAGAGTCCTCACTCTTATGCACTGGGCTATACTTGCTTTGGCCTTCATGAACAGCCAGAAATAAGGGCCATATTGCTCTTCCTCACCTCTCTTAAAAGCAAAGTTACAGTTTTAGGTGGATGTGCCTTACCTTTAACCTGGCTGGGCACCAGAGTTGACCATAGCAAACAGCTTAGCACAAAGCAGTTGTGTTCTGCTAATGAAATCTTAACAACATGCCTATTGCTGTGTCCTTAAAAGCCCATCTACGTGTGTAAATGACCAGCCTGACAGTAACATGCACCAGTTAAGAGCTGCCTTTGGAGTTTGATCCTAGTTCTGCCATATTATTTTGGGTTTGTTACTAAACCTCTTTGTGATTTCGTTTTCTCATCTGTAAAATGGCAATAATAATGCCTGTTTGTATTGGAAACCATGTGTGGTGTCTTCCTAATTACAATGGCTCCCTGAATGTTCCCCCGATCCCCCCCCCACAGCCCTCAGCAGCTCTGTTTGTATTATAGGGTGAGGGGCAGAAAGCATTTGACAATCAAATTCTCTCCTGCAGCATTATAAATTTGAGATTGAGAAAATCTAATACTTTCTGAATTGAACTTAAATTGACAGTTCCGGAATGGTCACATTCCCTCCAACATATGGTTTGAGAAACAGGAAGGTCCACAACTGGGGAACCCTTTGAAGGTTGCTGATTGGGGCAGATTAGGAGTACAGTCAAGTTTAAATGCAAATGAAACTCCCCTTGGTAGGCAGGCGGGGGAAGGGGGGAGCAGATGACATTTGCTTACAGTTTTTTTTGTATGAACAGAATATTGTCTTTGTCCCAGACCAGCAGGGGTGCCGTAGAATGTTTACTTCCTCCTTTCTAGGAGCAAGCTCACCTTGTTCATGCCACACTCCCAGCATTTAGCACAAGGTGTGGTACATAGTCAGAGATCAATAAGGATTTTTCTAAAAACTGAATGCAATTTTTAAATATATTAATGTTAGTTCTGGCCCACTTATACACCCAGGAAGTGTCCACATGGAAGGATTCAAACAGGTGTTTATCCAGCTCCAAAGCCACGTCCTTCCTGTCGTTAGTGCCCTTATGGAGCTTCAATTTTGGCAAATAAAGGACATGCTTCACCCCGTTCACACCCAATCTCAACCTGATGTCCCCACTCTCTAGCCCTTCTATCTGTTCTCACCCATTAGCCAAAACTCCCATTCACTTATCGCTGTCTCAACTGTGGGTTCATTTAATAATGACTGAGCATAATAAATGCTTATCATTGAAGCACAGAAGACAAGAGATAAAGAAGACCACTCCCCCACCCTAGCCATCAGGATATTCACAGGAGAGATATGTAAAAATAACACTTAATTGAAATACAGTGTGCTAAGTGCTATGACCAGGCAAGTATACAGACAGAGTTACCTCTTCCAAGAGTGGGAGTTGAGGACAGTTTTGACAGTGACTTTTGTGCTAAACCTTGTGAGATGTGGCAGAGAAAGAAAGGGAAATGATGTTCCAAGTTCAAGGAACAGCTTGAACTTAGCATGAAGTACCTGGCAAGGGGCAGCAGCCAGAGCATCCCAGAGCCCTCAAGGGTGAGGAAGAAGACAGGAGGGAGGGAGGGAGGCTAGGGCCCAATTGCCAAGGGCCCTCTCAGCTCCGAGTAGCCCAAAGGACAAACAAAGCAGGTGCTTGGGGCACCAGCAAAATAGGGCACACAAATAAAATCAGAAAAGAGCACATCTAAAAAGAAATAGGTTTAATTTCAACACACATTTGAGTTTTGTTGAAATTTCAAAATTAGTTCAAAAAATATTTTTATTTCAAGGTTAAGCATGGAGAACATCTTTATAATTTTTTCAGTGTTTAGGGTCTCTTGAAGGCTTCTTTCTGTCTCTGACTCTGTTCCAGGAATTGGACACCAACCAACTACAGCTTTGGCAGGATTGAGTTGAGGCAGTTTTGCAGAATTGCTTTATGAGTAATCTATAGTTACTCATGCACTCCCTAACCTACCCAGGGGTACTAATGATTTATGAAGTCAGTTTTTTGTCCGAAGGACCTCTTCCTGGTGGCATTTCAGAAACTGTGAGAAATGAAGCAAGATAGGGAGGGTCTCTTCCTGTAGCCCTAGAATTAGGAACCAGGGCCTCTGGTGAAATGACAAGGATACTACTTTCTAAAGAGAAGTCAACCATCTCACCAGAGCTGTAAGAATCTGTAAACTGGTTCTGCCATGCCCAAGCAGCTCAGTCATCCTTATCCCATATTGAATAAGACATCTTACCGGACACAGTGTTCACAGCCAGAAGTTACACATGCCTCTGCCTGCCCCCACTGTCACTGGGGAGGGAAGGAGGACACATTTCTCAAAAAAAAAACAAAAAAACAAAAGCAAAGAGAGTACAGTTTTCAGAAAATAACTTATTTAGCTAAGGAGTGCTTATAAGAAAGGAGAAATGAAATCTCACTCCTCACCTGGTTGGTTACTGTGGCTACCCAGCACCCCCACTCCCACTGCAGTGCTGCCTGATGAGAGACATCCTGGAAGAGCCTAACATGTATATTGAGAATTAGGGTTCTCGGAATAGAAGGTGTACAAGATGAAGTGAAACTCCATGCCAAGAGAATGACATATATCATATAGGCAAAGACCACCACAAGTGCCTAAATTAGACCAAGCCAGGAGACAAATGTGGCCTCATTCCCACCAACAAGTGACCTAGGAGCACATCTGCCAGCTCTCCTGACTCTCCCTGACCTCAATACCAGAGGTCTTAGGTCCAGAGCAGAGAGAGGAGATGTTAAAGAGGGGGTTGCACCCTTGCTAACACCCAGTACCTAGACTGTGATTTCTACAGGGATGTATTCCATGCCTGGCATGCTCCTGGCCCAGAGGAGATGTTTACTTGTGTTAAAAAAAAAAAAAGGGAATGAGTGGATAAAGTACATAACAAAGTCCAGTGCCCACTCCCCATCCCAGTCCACCCCTTTGTCTGTCACTCATAATTTACCTGCTTTAGGAAACTCTTGTCTGCAGAGTCAGACATTTCCTGGGTCAGACGTTTGCTTAGGCAACAAGGAGGCATTACCCAGGATACCTACCGGTGTGAGTTCTTCAGAGTAGTTTCTGGGCAGGGCTTAAGGCTCTCACATCCCTAGTCCCACCTTTGGCCTTGCATTCTAATTCAGTGGGTGGAAGAGTATAAATTTCAGCTCCTCTCCGCCTTGCTGCCTTCCTGCCAAAGACTTTTGACGGCAACATGAAGGTGGGGGGCTTCCTCTTCCTGGTGATGCTCATCATTCTCAGCTTGGAAGTACAGGAACTCAAGGCTGCGGTGAGGCCACTGCAATTGTTGGGTGAGTCCAGGCAGAAGGCAGCCCTGTTCTCTGAACAAGGGAGCTGGAAAGTGGACCAGCAGAGACAGATGTGTGTAGGGGGAGGAGAGAAGAAAGGAGAGAAGGAAAGATGCTCTAGTCAAGGAGTCGCCTTCACTGCAGAAACCTCTCTCCCTCTGCTTCCACTCTTCCCCCCCCCCCTCCTTTCCTTGGGTCATCCTTCATCTAGACTCTCCACCCTTCCCTTTTGCTGCCCTGTCATCTCTTCCATCTCCCCCAGCAGTTCTCTCCTCACAGGCTTCTCGGTGTTTTGCAACAAATAGATCAGATCACTAGAGAACACATTGTCTTACTCATAGTAAACACAAATCATCTCAATTTCCTCTTTTCCCTTTACCACCAATATTCTCAAAGGAGGAATCTTAACTCTCTGCCCTTAATTTCCCCACAACTCATTCCTTCACCCCTAAAGACTGACTATCGCTCTTCCTGTCCTCATCAGTCTCCAGAAACTTCGCTCCCAGGATCTGCTGACAGATCTCTTGACTCTCCTCAGGAGTGAAAGCCTGTAGCCTCTGCAGCATCTGACATTGTTTGCTACTCCGTCAATCCTCAAACTTCCTTCTCTCCTGAATTCTCTTCACTGTAGCTCCTGCTTCTCCCTAAATATTCCTGGATTCAACTGTTACTCTCCTCTCTTTTTTACTGTCCTCCTCCCCCCTACATTAAACCAGTTGCCAAATACCATCCATTCTTTGAAATTGTTTCTTGCATGTGTTCCTTCCTTTCCCCTTCCCATTGCCACACAGCACTTCCAGCCCTGACTACCCCATGCTTGGGCCAGTGTGGGTAGTTTCCTGACAGCACCCCCTGACCCTCTTTCCCTCCTGGAGTCTGCTTGCTGATTGAATCTTGGTCTGTTCTATGCTATCACACCAGGATAATCTTTGTAAGCAAACTGTAGTCGTATCCTTCCCTTGGCTTACTAAATGGAATCCATACTCCTCAGGTCCTCAAGATCTGGTCCCAGTAACTTTATCCCCTACCTGTTTTTCCTGCTTAACTTCCAGCTATTCCTGTGTACTTCTCAGCCTTGCATTTGCCAGTCCCCTTGTATTCCTTGCATTTCAGGCTGAAGAGTGAGGAGATGGGGTACCTAGGGTGCAATATTGAAGGAGGTCCTACTCTCAGGTTTGTGCAAGTGCCTCCTTAAACTTTGTGCCCTGGGTGCCTCACATGCCTATATTTCCTCTTGTGAACTTTTGATAGTAATTATTTTCTCTTCTCACAAGACTCTACGACCACCACCCCTCAATTCTGCCATAAAAAGATTCCTGTACTTCAAGACTCACCTTTTCTGGTTAATCTAATTGGAAGTAATGTTCTCTCTCCTCTGAGCCCCCTTTCCTTTGGATATACCTCTCTCAGGACCCTGTCACATACTGCTTTGGTTTTAGAATTTTTTTAAAAAAAAATATATTCATGTTTATTTATTTTTGAGAGAAAGAGAAAGAGTGGGGAGGGGCTAGAAGTTTCTGTGTGGGGTCTTAACCAGCCCCTTGGACCTACTTCACTGGTTCTCAAGGACTGACTCTGAGGCTCTGAGAACCTAGGGGCCCTCCACTCAGGTCAAGAGTGACTCCTTGAAAATTGGCGATGTGTACTTCATCTTAGAGTCAGTTTCACCATGTGGGATGAGAGGGAGCTTGGCCTAGGAGCCAGACAGTTCTGAGTTCAGTTCCATTTCTGTACCTACAGAAATGAGCAATTTATCTCTGTTCATGCTGGCTGCCACACTTATAAAATGAGGTTAATCAGATTCACTGCGCAGGGTGACAGCAAGGCACCCTGGATGGCATTTGGTTAATGTGTTTCCCCTTTTCTGCCCCTTCTCCTGCAAAGTAGGGAAGTGAGGACATTTGATTGGGCTTCTTTGCACTGCAAACACAATTCTTTGCTTTAAAGTAGACCTTACTTTATTGGGATTATATGAATGTATTGCTTTTAACTGATATATAAAAGATGTTAATGAGAGTTGTTCTGTTAATTATTTACAAATTCCATTATTTATTGGACTGAAAGAAAAAAAGTGGAACTGGACCCTTCAGTCAGTCAAGAGCTGTCTTCTCTGATACTTGTGATTAAACAGGGTGGTTTTCAGCTGCTCTGTTCTAATATAGGTAGCTGCATTAATCTCTGCAGTGGTGACTGGGATTGTGATCCAGAAGAACGCTGTGTCAGCAATGGGTGTGGCCACATTTGTGTTCCAGTCTAAGGACAGGTAAAAACATTCCCTGCTTCCTCAAACCTTGTCCAAGCTAAGCAGGCTGCCTCTGGTGGGACTTTCTACAACTGGGCGGGACAGAAGCCTATCACTCTGGCTTCTCTGTCTTTACATCCTTCTCAAGAAAAAGAAGTACCTGTCACAGGATGGTGGTTTCCAAACCTTTAAAATAATTTCATTACCCAGTACATCCAGAAGAGAAATTGGACTATTTGGACAAAAAGAACGTTAAAATCGGTCACATTATGCCCCATCCCCAAATGATATCTGCTTGATACTTTGGTGCATATTCTATATTGAAATGAGATAATCTTGTGTCTATTTTGATTTCTTAATTATTTCACATAGAAATAGCTATGGAACAACAATACCAATGCTTCTATACCATCACCTTTAACAGCCTTATAGAACTCCATCATATAGAACTCCATGATATATGCTCATTTACTTAGTAATCCCCATTAATACACATTTGATGTTTATTATTTAATTAATACAGTTGTGATGAATACTAAATTGGTATAAATGCCCTTATTCATTTCCTTGGGATAAATTCTAAGAATTATAATTTATGGCCAAAGAGCATGTTCATTTTATACCTCTGATGAACGTTGCCAGATTGACCTATGAAAACCCCGTTCCTGTAGAAATATTTCAGGGTCCTAATATGATATTTTTAGTAGCCATCAAATGAAAAAAATGCATAATGAAAAGCTTTCATGATTCAGTCTTAGTTATAAATTAGGTTGTATATATTAATTAATGTCATAACACAACAGAATATAAACCTAAAAAAATTTTAATGTTTTATTTATTTCTGAGAGAGAGAGAGATACAGCGTGAGTAGGGGAGGGTCAGAGAGAGAGGGAGATACAGAATCTGAAGCAGGCTTCAGGCTCTGAGTTAGCTGTCAGCACAGAGCCCGATGTGGGGCTCAAACCTGCGAACCGCGAGATCATAACCTGAGCCGAAGTCGGACGCCTAACTGACTGAGCCACCCAGGCACTCCTTTAAAAAAAATTTTTTTTAATGTTTTATTTATTTCTGAGAGAGAGAGAGAGAGAGAGAATCAACATAAACTTTAAAAGTAAGCCATTTATACAGAAAACGATGTTTTAGTTTAGAATGAAATCTTGGGGTTTTTTTTCGGTCTTATCAGAAACTTTATTTGTTTTTTGTATCATTTTTAAAATTTACATTCTAGTTAGTTAACATATAGTGTAATATTGTTTCAGGAGTAGACTTTAGTGATAGAATGCAATCTTCTAAGTAAATGAATTAGGTATTAATTTGTATTAACCATTAAGACCAAGTAGCAAAAAACACATTTTTTATTCCTCTTCATTTCCCTATACAGGTTAATAACAGATAATACTTAAAAAAAAAAGTAAGCCATTTGTATTCAGAAGTTACTATTTGTCCAATTCATCCACAATCCTTGGGATGCTTGTGGCCCTGTTGGCTCTTTGCAGGTGCTTATTGATTCCCAGAACTGGAATCAGTCACCTCTCAGTTGCAATCTGCAATCCCAGGTCACCAATACAGCAGGTCTCATGCATAATTTTTTTTGGTCCATTTTTCAGATGAAGACTTATCTTAAGGTCATCCTTCTCCAATAATTTCTCATCACTTCCTATCTTCAAAGATGAGACTGGAACTCCTTGTCCAGAAAGACAGATGAAAATGGGGACCTGTGGATAGAGATTATATGCGGTGGGGAAGGAAAAAGAGTCATTTCTTTCAATAAATCAGTATTGTTAAAAGTATCCACACTGCTTGAGTTATTTGGTTAGAGTTGATGATGAGGCGGTGGGGGACACATGACATTTGCTGAACACTTGGTATACACCTGTGTTATATTCTCCATGAGCACCATTTAATTTATCCTTAAAACCACTTTGTGACTGCTTATTACCACAACCATTTTACATATAAGGGGGCAGAGGTTTGGAGAGATTAAGTAATTTGCTCAAACTCATATAGCAGGTAAGTGTCAGGGCCTTATCTCTAATCTCATGTCAAACTCCAGGGCCTATGCTTTTTAGCATTGTAGTTAGGAGCTCTGATTCTGAATTTCAAACCCAGGTCCACCACACAACTGTGTGATCTTTATCAAGTGTCCTAACCTTTCTGTGCTTTAGTTTTCTGATCTGATTATCAATATATACTTCATAGAGCTACAAGGATAAAAGAACTCAGTTCATGTAAAGTGCTTGGCATGCTTGGCATAGTGCCTGACACAGAAAACATTCAATAAATCTTAACTACAATTGTTATAATTATTACCAAATAGATGGGTTGATGGCCCTTAGTTCTATTTTTCTAAGATTCTAGAACAGAAGCCAAGGCCAATCCTAATTTATCTAGATAGTGAGAACTAGCCTTTCTCTTCTGGTTTTCCCCATGTTACAAAACATTTGGTCAACTTGCTGCCTGTGTGGCCCTTGACAAACCATTTAAACTCTTTATATTTTCTTTCTTTAGGCCATTTAAACTTTTCTTATTTTTAAAAAGGGTGAAGTAACAGTATCCACATCATTTTGATGGTAAGATTTATAGAACTTTATAGTTGACGAAGAATTTTCACAAAGACCCCATCTGATTTTCACATCAAGTAACAAATGGTAAGTTGGGGGCTCCAAATAAATGTTGAAGCCATTAATTCTGTCAACAAGTATTGGTGAGTGTCTATTATGATGCAGATGCTGTGCTAGCATTGGTGAACAGCTATAGATGTTACAGACAGTGAACAACAGTGAATCAGACAGATGGGGTGTGTGCTTTCACAAAGCTCACATTCTAGAAGAGGAAACAGATAAAAACAAGTAAACAAATAAGATAACTACACATTATGGTAAAGGTTCTGAAGGAAATAAATAAGGGTGTAAATTAGAAGAGGGAGGGGGTAAGGTAAAGCCTACTTTAGTTAGGATGATCCAGACTCAAATGAGGTGATAAAAATGAAGTCTTGACAGAGTTCCAAAATATGAAAGAGGCGATATTCCTGAGTAAGGCTCCAGATCACCTTATGCAGAATTTATAAAAGGAAATGGCTGTGAATATGCTAGGCATCCCTTAAAGTACCAAGGTCACTGTAGGATTAAAAAAAGATTGAGAGTGAGGAGGAATAAGGATATGTGAGATTTTCTTGGGAGAGTATTTGTCAAGCTATGAATCCACAGTTGGGGGGGGTGTGTATCATCTAAACACAAGCCAACGTAGGAGGCCTACAAGTCCTCCCTGAAAGTTTGATATGTTTCTTCAGTTGGTAATCATCAAAGGGTAGGAGTGTTCATTTCTTTAGAGAAACCACATTGCCATCTGCTAGGGTATATTCCATCAGAACTCAATAGACTGGTATCAATATACTTTACAATATCTAGGTCATTCAGTCTTGAATAACAATATGTGTGGGCCATTCTTGTTGCAACCTAAGATGAGCCACACCAAACCCTGATCCTTTCCAGTCTCTGTCATACCACCTCCACTGTGACGATCAGGTTTCACATCCTTCTAGCCCACTGTGTTGGATATCACTTGTGCACTGCCTCATATACTCTTGGCCTTACACTCTTATTCTTATTCTAATCATTGCTGCAACAACCAGCTTCTGTCAGGCATCTACTAGCTTAGCACAAGTTAAGACTCTTGTCAGAGCTTTGTCTTGGACTTGTACCCCAGTACCCTATACTTCTCACTTTTGTCTCGGGGCCTCTTTGTGCATCTAGAAACTCCTGCAGGAGCCACCACCCACTGATGCATGCTCAAATGAGAAGCACTGGAGAAATGATGCTTGGTGGGGCAAGGTTTGACAACAGAATTCAAAGGCTGACAGATACATGCTTCCATCTTCCATTCCTCAGGAAGGGGGTTCTGACAGCATTCCATAAGGCTTCTCAGAAAATCTTGAGGATTGAGCAAATACTCACCCCTTGCAATGGTTAATTCAATAGCACATATGTATATTGATTCCCCTTTCTTCCCTGTTCATTCCTGAATAAATCACTCATATAACAACCTCACCTAAGGCTCTGCTTTGGAAGAACTCAGACTAAGACATCTGTGACTCGGTTCAGCTCCTAATCTTTGAGCAAATGCTTTAATATCACAAATAAACGTACATAACATACACACATCTCAAGAATAAGCAATAATATACAAGCATAATGAAATCTGAATTCAAACAAAAAATTAATATTCTCCCCCTAAAAGCCCAAAGTCTTCAGAAAACTAGCTCTTCCAAAGTGTGCCCCCAACTGTCATTGTTAAACAGAAATGTTTGTCTCAAGATAAAACATGTACGTTCAGGTGACTTCAAGGCTTCCCCCAAGAATCGATGAGAATTTGCTTTAAAATTGCATAACTCAAAGGCTCAGGAAATTACCAAATGTAAATTTCAGCCCTTCACATCTTGGATGGCTAAAAAGTGTTTATAGCTTTTTTTTTTTTTTTTTTACAAATAGTTTATTGTCAAGTTGGTTTCCATATAACACCCAGTGCTCATCCCCACAAGTGCCCTCCTCCTGTTTATAGCTTTTTTTTTTTTTTTTTTTTTTTNGAGAGAGAGACAGCGGAGCAGGGGAGGGTCAGAGAGAGAGGGAGTCACAGACTGAAACAGGCTCCAGGCTCTGAGCTGGCCGTCAGCACAGAGCCCGACGCGGGGCTCGAACCCACGAACCGCGAGATCATGACCTAAGCGAAAGTCGGACGCTTAACTGACTAAGCCACTCAGGCGCCCCGTTTATAGCTTTTTAAAATGGCTATTTTCTTTTCCAGCTTCTTGCTTTTAATGCTATTGGAATTCTTGGGGTGTCCAATCTCAACTAGGTCACCCTTAGGCAGTTTATATTTTACATGGCTCAGTTTGAACTTTCAAATTACTTTTCTTGTATGGTGAAGTACCTTAAGATTCACAGGAGGATGCACACTTAACTGCAAGGAATACTGGGTAATGTATCCTTTATTCAGGGCCATTTTGTGCCTGGGAAAGAATCAGGGGCTCTCACACGATGTAAGAGTCCAAGGACGTCGTAGAACTAGCAGTTTTTGCCATTGCACATCGACAACGGCCCCTCCCCAACTCCAGTCCGAATCTGAGACGCTAGTACTAAATAAGCATGTCAGCCCTGCCCAGAAACAAACTTTCTAGGAGGACAAATAAGAATCTCAGTTTCAGGGGCACCTGGGTGGCTTAGTCGGTTAAGTGTCCGACTTTCGCTTAGGTCATGATCTCGCGGTTCGTGGGTTCAAGCCCCGCGTCGGGCTCTGTGCTGACTGCCAGCTCAGGGCCTGGAGCCTGTTTCGGAGTCTGTGTCTCCCTCTCTCTCTGACCCTACCTTGCTCACTCTGTCTCTCTCTCTCCTAGAAATAAATAAAAATATTAAAAAAAAAAAAAAAGAATCTCAGTGTCAGAGCTCAAAGAAAAGTGGGCGGCAAGTAAAGCCTCCAAGCTCATTTCCGACAATTATTCGCACAGCAGCGCAAGCGGATCCCAGGGCTTTGGTACGCCCGCTCTGGTCTAAAGAAGCCATTTCCTGGGGCACCTGGGTGGCTCAGTGGGTTAAGCGTCCGACTTCGACTCAGGTCAGAATCTCACGGTTGGTGGGTTCCAGCCCCTAGTCGGGCTCTGTGCTGACAGCTAGCTCAGAGCCTGGAGCATGTTTCAGATGTTGTACCTCCCTCTCTCTCTGACCGTCCCCAGCTTACGCTGTTTCTGTCTCTCAGAAATAAATAAAACATTAAAAAATTTAAAAAAAAAAAAGTATTTCCGGAACTGGCGCTCGGAACCGGGAATGCCCCGGAAGTATTTCATTGTGGTCTTACGTGGGAAAGATGGCGGCGGTGCAAGTGGCCGGGTCGCTGCCGGGCGCGCAGGTGCGGGACGTTCCACAAGAGCCACCGCCCGAGCAGGGCATTGGGTTCCGCTGCTTATCGGCCAGGCTCTGCGCCCTACGTCCGGATGACAGCAGCTCCGCCCGCACCGAGATCCACCTGCTCTTCGACCAGCTTATCTCTGAGAACTACAGCGAAGGCGGCGGCGTGACCCCAGAGGTAGGCGGCCTGCTGGGTGGGGAGGACTCAGGCCACGCCTGCTGGCCCTGGCCCCACCCTCAGGGACCCTGGCTGGTCGCTCCCGCCGGCGTCTCCCGGCTTCTCCCAGCACCGCTTCGGATTACTTAGTTCCGGGCTGGCTTGCTCCCTCCGAGTGTGGTACACTCTCTGCTCTCCTCTTTGTGGAAGATCCTGCAATGCTTGGCAAAATCGGCAGCTTTCAAAACCCCACTTGGTGACTTCTGCTCTGGTAACACCGTAGTTGGCATTTGGTCCAGCCCTCGCCCCCACTCCACTCCCTGCATATAAAACACCGTATATACAATTCACTATTACCATTTATTAAGTAGTGGCACTCGGATCGCCACATACTGTACCGCGCACGATTATAGGAACCTTACAACGTAGGTATTATTAGATCTACTGTTAAAAATACGGAGGCACATAAAGATCCAATGTCATATTGTTGGCAAAAGGCAGAGGTAGAATTGGAGCCTAAGCCTGTCACATGGTCCCTGTCATTTTCTGTTCCTCTGTGCTAGCCTTCTGCCTCCCCTTTAGAAGTACTTTGCCTCGGAGTAATAATAATATTCACACACATCAGGCCTTGGATACTA